GGGGGTGTGAAAAGGCATTGTTTATTGACTATCTTCAAAATTGCAACGCCATCAATGAAGAGTACTATGCCAATCTGCCGAGGCTGTTACGAAAGGCTAGCAAGACCAAACAGGAAAACTGACGAAATGTTTTTTTTTATTCCATCAGGACAATGCTCCAGCATGTGTCTTTGTTTTCAACAGTTGTTGTATGTGACTGTGGCTTTGAACAGGTTGATCACAGTCCCTATGTCCCTGATTTGGTCGCATCTGGCTATCATCTGTTCACCAAGATGAAAAAAAACCCTCTTACCTGGGAATATCGCAGTAATGACTGCGTCATATCGGTTGTTGATGAAGGTTTTGACCAACAGGATGAAAGCTTCTTCACCAATGGGATCCAAGCACTGCAACTCCAATGGAAGAAACTTGTTGACCCCAAGGAGGACTATGCTGAAAAATAAACCTCATTTGGTCACATTCTATGAGACTATCTTGGTCAGCCAATGAACTTTTCAGCCAACCATCGTAAAGCAAGAAAATAAGGAACTAAATGTTCTATTTATAGTATTTTTAATTCATTGTGTGAACTAGCCATCCACTTTAAGCTATTTCTTTATTTAATCCTACCCATCATATCAGGAGATTATATCAACGGCTAATCTACTTTACCTGCAACTTGCTAATTTAATGTGTCAGCGTTTACTTAATTTTTTGAATATTAATTAACTATGATGAAAAAATGTTATATTATAAATATTTGTTAATAAGCTAGTGCACGATTCATTTATTTGCTTGAAACCTGCTTTGTGAAGCTTGTATGTAAATATTCCCATCTTGTCTCAGCACCTCTGAGGTCTTTGAATCGAAGTTTAGTGTTCGGTATTTAGCTAACCACTGGTTCCTGTAAGGATTCTCAAAGAAAACAAGTATAAGAATCGCGCTTGTCTTTTGGCGGTCTTGCAAGCCAAAAATACTTTCATTTATCCAAAAAATGCCTGGGGCACGTTCAAGTAACCTATTGTAAGGTAAATAAACGCTTGTTTGTAAAAATTAATATTTACTATAATAAGATGACTAACTTAGAGATTCTTTTAAAATTAATTTAAATTTCATCTTTTGTAGGCAGAATATATTTTCTAAAGTTTATCAGTTTCAAATTAATTCAAATCTAAATTCAATTACATAAGTTAGCCAGCCACTCGATGCTATATATATATATATATATATATATATATATATATAAATATATATATATATATATATTTGGTAGGATTATGTTTAAACATATGCTTTTTGGGTTTGATATTTCCATGGAAACCGAAAGCAGAAAGATATCCACCTCGTGTTTGACAGGCCTCTTCCTCCGCCTTCGTCGTCTTCTTAACAGCAGAAGCAAGAACTTGACAGGGTAATTTTAAGTCACGGAAATATTATCTTACTTATTATAAAATTCAGATTGTGTGTGCGTGTGTGTGTGTGTGTGTGTGTGTGTGTGTCTGTACATTTATATATTGGATCGGATTTCCCACATTTTTCAACCGATTTCAACAAAACTACACAGGACTGCGTAAAATTACCTTGCGGTGGTTCTGACAGCGCCAAAAATTTGAAAAACACAATTGTTTTTGCACGAAATCAATTTGAAAACACGATAAAACATGATTCTGTTGCCAGAATGAAAAAGGGACAACTCATGTCGAGTTATACTTATTATAAAACCCAGGTTGTTTGTGTGTGTGTGTGTGTGTTCGTTCGTTTATATATGGGATCGAATTTCCTACATTTTTCAACTAATTTCAACCAAACTTCACTTTTTTTTGGCAGGTAGTGTTTCCTATTGTCTTACACACTTTTTTCTTTATTTTTACATTCATTTTACATGCTTTAAACATTCCATTTACAAGACAATTGTTTATAATAAAATTCTATTCATAGACTCATAACGATTGAAAACAATGTTTTTGTTTGAGTTTGACCAATTCTTAAAAAAAAAATAAATCTAATCAAAACATGCGTGCCCGTCAACCTTAAACAATAATCTTTGTCAATTTTATTTTTCAGTCTTCATGATGGTTGATACTTGATCTATCTCTTACTGTTACATCCCCGTGCAACGCCGGGCTCTACTGCTAGTTATTAATATAGTCAAAATATAATAATTTAAACTAAAACTGTACCTATTCTGTTTCTTGACAGAACTGTTTACGGTAAGATAATTTGCAAGTGAAAATAGTATACAAGAAAAAATGAATCCAACCGGGTGGTACTGAAAATTGTTCGGATTGATCCATTTCTATAATTCATTATTCTGAGATTTCGTCATTGAAATACTATTTTTTGTAAGTTCGCCGAGCCGATAACTTTTCAGCACCCACTCGTAGATATTTATTTTATTTCGCTTGACTTGACGGGATTATGCAGCTGTATTGTACGTATAAAATCTAAAAAACAGTGGTTACTTCGACACTGTGTAATGGTTAACAAGCTTGTCACGCTAGATCAATTATGAATGAGTTACTTTCGGCCTTGTGCCACATCTTAGCTATGTTTAGTAAATCACTATAATATCAAAAGTTGTAGGTTCCGCTGCATCGTCGTATTTATGCTCAATACTTTCTGAATATTAAACTAGTAAAAAATGTCCAATTTCAGAATAAACCTTTTAATTATATTGTAATATAGTATTATAGAAAATCAACAACCTCTATCAAGTGTTCCAAAAAATGGGATAAACCATTCCTTCACAAAAACTGTGATCTGGAATTGGAATGAAAGCAGTGATCCTAAAATCATCATAAAAATTCAGAATGTGGAATTAGTAAATACTAAAGACTTCAGATACATTGCTATATGGATTGGCTATAATAAATTAACTATAGGAAAAGAAGAAATTGAACATAGAATAGGATGTGCCGGAGGTAATTTTACTCAACACCTTAAATCTTCTTAAATAGCCTTGTCATATCAAGACTTTCATATGGATGCCATGCATAGCACCAAACCCGTTCCGAAATATCTAAATTGTCAGCTGTATATAACTGCTTCCTAAGATCAATGGTGAAAAAAGGCTTTGAGCAAGTGAAGACTGAGAGTCTAGGCAAAGATCATTCTTCTATCAACATCATTGACTGGTACTACAGAATCACAAAAAAAAAAGAACTGTACCAAATAACAGAAAATATAACCTGAAATTGGAATGAAAGCCCCTGAATCCATCTGAAAATCTCAGGATGGGGAATTAGTAAATACTAAACAGAAACCTTGGTGTAAGGATCAGTTATAACAAATTAAGTATAGGAGAAAAAGTAATTGAACATAGAAGAAGCCGTGTCAAAAGCAGCTCCGTCCAACAACGCGAATTGCTACGAAACCTGTAATACTGTAAACTCGAGTCATTATTTGAGACTTTCATGTGGATGTCATACATGACATCAAGCCCGATCAGAAATGTTTAAACTGTCAGGTGAAAAAAGCCTTTAAGCGAGTGAAGGTTGCGGGTCTTGGCAAAGGCCGTCCTTCTTTGAATATTGGGGATTGGCGCTACAGAAGAACTGTGCCAAATAATAGAAGCCATATCACTTTAAGACTACCAACAGCAGCAACAACTAAAATGGAGAGCACATGTAACTCGAAGAGAAAATAATGACATAATCAAGATGTTAACATTCCACAATACTTCAATTAGAATGTTAAGAAGGAAATGCCCATCAATACTGGAAAGAACGATAACAGCTACGGGACTCGAGAAACCTGTTTTCCTGAAAAATCGCTTCAACCGAAACCTGTAACTACATTCAGACCCCAACCAGATGAGCAGGGAATGAAGAAAAGTACTGGTTGCTCGGTCAATGAATGTCGAATGTTTTCTTATAAAGAAACGGCTAATATTACCATTATCATTTGTATTAAGGCTGTCTCGTTTTTCGTGATTCACTCGTTGCTTTCATCAGATTTCGGCGAAATTACAGGTCAAGTGTTTTTATACAGAGATTTAGAGAGGGTCCTCGACTTAGGTCAGGGTCCGTTCCTACAACGCATCATGACGTGATTTTCTATATAATTCGGAATGTACCCGTGATTTACCATGAATAACCACTTATGTCACTCACCTATACTAACGCAATAGTAAAGTAATAACCTAGAACACAATAACACATCTCTATGACATACGTTAACATGATTTGGATAAAAAACATTGACTTAATAATAGTTTTGTAATGTCAACATATACCCGTTGCCATATTTGTAAAGCTCGTTGTAGTAGAAACTTTTTAATCGCAGATACAACTATAGTAACGCCGTTGAACAATACTTATTCAGACGCCTTTATAATAATACCTGTTACTAATAGTACTTGTTCGATAATATGACGTTTGAATATTAATCCGATATAGTGATCCAAATAGAGAAATATATTGTGAATAGAGAAACTTTTGTTAGTAACCTATGATGACCAATCAGAGATCCGAATATATGGAGGATAAAATAACAATGCAGATCAATTAATCACTCGCTACCTCCTATAAATGTTAATATCTATGGTCAAATGGTCTATTTAATTCAATAATGGATCGCCCGTAATTGTTAAATTAAATCTGTTAAAATTTGAACAAACCAAAATTTATAGTTAATCAAAAGAATCTCCACCAATTTAATAAGTTTAAGTTAGTAGTAATAGTAACGAGGGCTCAGATTATGAGTTATTCGATCAATCGTGCCATGATCAGTGACCGTTAGACGGATAAAAAAAAATCAAAAACCAAAAAAGTATTTCTCTGCGTCTTAACTATTTGATCAAAGTCCTAACGTTCAAATATATATATTGAGGTCGAACGATATAAGGAAAAACCATTCAATAATATTCGTACGTGGTTCGTAAAAAGTTCAGATGGTTTCAGCACTAGTAAATAATAAACGGTCACCCATCTAAATACTGAAGATTCAATATAAAAAATTTAAAATATATGATCGTACAAGAACCGATATGGTCAAAATGAATAACAAAACAGACATCTAAGCTTGCTGCACCTGGCATTTCCAAATAGTCACCCATCTAAGTAATGACCAAGCTCGACTTTGCTTATCTTCAATGATCGTACGAGAACCGATATTTCAAGGCGATATGGTTATAAGCCATAACACCCGCACATCTAAATTAAATATACCTGGTATTCAATAAAAAAAACTCATCTGATATATACGACGTTTTAACTTTTACATTCGTTTGGGTCGTAATTTTAACTAAAAGTTCTGTTTAACCGGACATCTAACCTTACAGCACCTGGTATTCCCAAGCATCTAGATACTGACAAGGATCAACGTTGCTTAACTTCGTTGATCGTACGAGAACCGATGTTTGATTGATTGTAATAAGACCGTAACACCTCACAGTACACAGAAGTAGAAGAAATCAGAATCCGTTTGGCCAATTATATTCCAACGTTTTCTACCCGAAGAATTTTTGGTTCTTCGATTCCATTTAATTAAACCCCTTTCTAAAAACTCAACAACCGCCTCTTATTTTCTCTTACTTTTACTTCTTCTATTTTGTCTAACCTGCACCAAAAGAGTTGGCTTTCGATGGCGTCTGCTTACCCACCTAGCTAGCTAGCTGGCTATCTCATTCTGTTCACATCTATCTATCTATCTATCTATCTATCTATCTATAAATCTATGCTCTATAAAAGAACGTATCTCATTCTGTTCTTAAATATTTCTGTGTATCTGTTTCTGTCTGTTCATATCTATCTACCTATTTCGGTCTGTTCATATCTATCTATCTATTCATATCTCTCTCTCTCTCTCTCTCTATCTATCTATATATCTATCTGGAATAGATCTATTTATTATCTATCTATTATTCATCTCTCTTTCTCTATCTATCTATTCATCTCTCCCTCTCTCTCTCTATCTATCTAAAAAAACTGTGTTCATATAAAATTTTATATTTATCTATTTCTGTCTGTTCATAAGATCTATCTATCTATTTATATATCTATCTATCTATATCTAATTTTTGCTATTATCTATGTATTTCTCTAGTTTTAAAATTACATCTATCATCATCTATCTATCAATGTTATTCATATATATCTATCTTCTATCTATCTATCTATCTATCTCTGTGTGTTAATATAAGAGCTATATATTTTTCTATATATTTATCTATCTATTTTCTGTCTATTCATATCTATTTACCTATTTCGGTCTGTTCATCTTATCTATCTATTCATAACCATCTCTATGAAAATCTATCTAACTATTTGAGCTATCTATCTATTATCTATCTATCTATCTATTCAATTTTTTTTCATCATCTATTCAAGTATATCTAATCACATCGCTATCTATCTATCTGTGTGTGTTCATATAAATCTATATATTTATCTTTTCTGTCTGTTCATATCTATATCTATCTATCATTCTATCTATCAATCTATCTATCAGGCATTCTATCTATCTATCCACAGATCCCAACTTTGCTTTATTATCTATGTATTTATCTAGTTCATTGTGTTTACATCTATCTATCTATCTATCTATCTATCTATCTATCTATCTATGTCTATTCATATCTATCTATCTATAATCTATCTATCTATCTATCTATCTATCTCTGTGTTAATATACATCTATATATTTTCTATATATTTATCTATCTATTTCTGTCTGTTCATATCTATCTATCTATCTCTGTGTGTTAATATATATCTATATATTTATCTATATATTTATCGATCTATTTCTGTCTGTTCATATCTATCTATCTATCTCTCTCTCTATCTATCTATCTATCTATCTATCTATCTATCTATTCTTTCTACTTTTACTTATCAGTAGAATTTACTTACGTTCTTTTGGCACATCCGATTTTTGTCTGCGTTATTTAACTCTATAGTGAAATCATTCCAGTGCAATTCCCTTGGTTGCATTCTCTTGATTTCATTCTGCTAGAACAGCAGCACAACGCCTCTTTTATCTATTGCGATTCTATTGGCTTTTTATTTCAGTTTCTTCTCATTCTTGCATCGATTTTGATTATTTCACTTTACCTCCGCAAAAAAGGATTTTGCAGTTTCATTATCCAGCCTACTTTTGTATTTTTATATGTATAGTCAAATTTTTATATATATATATATATATATATATATATATATATATATATATATATATTTTAATTTAATTCTATAATTGAATTTGATGTTTTAATATATAATTATTTTAGAAACGTATATATTAGTAAATTAGTATATATATATATATATATATATATATATATATATATATATATATATTTTACTACTTTAAAAATATGGTTCCATCGCTTCACAGGAATTTCCATGTTTCAAAAAAGGAAAAAACTTCAAATTCAATTATATAAAAATTAAAGACCTAGTCCTGTTTCATTTTCAAGCGAAATTTTGGTATAACTTATTTTTTAAATTGCGAAGTTTTATAAGCATATACATTCATAATATTAGTTTATAAGGATACAAAGAAATCCAATCATTTTAACAAGGTGTTTTAGGGTTTAAATTCATTTTCACTGATAACTATTGTATATAATAAATATAAACGTTTTTTTTTTGTTTTTATTTAGCAAACATTACAACCTTTCTAAATATCTGATTCAACCTTTGTCAACAAGAAAAATTATCCTTATAAATAACATTTATACTTTTTTAAGAAGCCGTCAATGAGATCCATTTTTTATATGCATTCATGCATGCTAAAAAAAAAAGAAAAAAAAAAAAACATAAATATTTAATATAAATCCAAAAAACTTTGAAAATTTAAAAGCTGAACTCAAAGTTTAAACCTGGATAAAAGAATGGACCGATTTTTAATAATACTTAAAAGTTCTACATGTTAAATTTTATCAAATTATATGTGTACTGAGACTATTATATATATATATATATATATATATATATATATATATATAGATATATACACCAAAGCTCACCTAAAAGAATAACTAATCTATTATTTATTCTGCAACTTATGTCCTAATAGTGGATATATTGGTGAGTCTGGAAACAATTTTAGATTTTTGGATTTAATAACCATAAACAAACAATACGTCAAAAAACCCTTATTCCCCCATAGCTAAACACTACAATCAATCAGGACACACATTAGAAAACTGCAAATGTTTATTGATAGATTCCGATTTTAAAATACATACACACGCAGAAAAAAAAAAACATATTGGATTTTAAAATTAAATACACATAAACTAGGGTTGAATAGGGACTTGGGTGTTTTAAATTTTTATAAATATTTCAATAGTTAAGCAATTTTTTTTAGATATAGTTAAAAAAATTTTTTAAACAACATTTAAAATATTTATGACAGTTAGATTTAAGTTAGAAATATCCGAACAGTGACGTTCCATATCACGTTACGTCCGCGGCTCGCGAAGGACGCTACTTGCTAAAAAACAGTAATTTTAATTTATTTGTAACAAACAGTTATTTCTGATGAAAATTGAGGACAATTTGAAATATCAAATATATATATAAATAAATAAATACTTTCATAAAATAAAACATTATTATTTTTTTAATTTGAAACTTTATATATATATATATATATATATATATATATATATATATATATATATATATATATATATATATATATATTATATATATATATATATATATATATATTCAAAATAAACAAAAATGAATTTATTGTTTAACGTTATTTTTATATTGATATAAAAGTATTAATAAATGCTAATTTATAATAAACAGTATTAAATAACATTTATAAAATTTTCTATTCCTTTAATATTTTCATACAAAATATTTAAATATTGACAGGATTCGAACTGGCATCATTTACTTCAACTCATTACGCTGACGAGATTCATGGAAGATTGAAAATTTATAAGGAAAAATTTCATTTTATAATGTTTGATTTCGGTTAGACACAGAGCGTAAATGTATTGAAAACGTATCAAAAAAAATATTTATTCTTAATTAAAAATATCAGACGAATGTAAATTTATGCGCAATAAAATAAAACCTTGTCAAGAGAAAAAATATCTATAATACCTTCCCAGACCATACGAAAAACTATTAAATGAACTAAGACATTTTTTAACCTTAAATTTTCAATTTAAAACAAATATTTAAAATATATATAAAAATTCGAAATATAAAAAAATAAAAATTATAATAAATAAATATAAATGAGTAAAATAAATTAATCCAAAGCAATTTATTTTCAAGCAAACAAATTAAATAAATAAATTTTATAAAGGAACCCTAAAATAGCACAAATATTTTTTGTAAACATATAATAAAACAACCAACAATAAAAAATTTAAAAACAATCAACAAAAAAATTAACAAATTGTTACTAAATTCAAAACTTTAAAAAATTGTTTGAATTGAACAATTTTTTTTGACACAAATTTTTCTGGAAAAATAATTCAGAAACATAAACCGTTTTTTAAATCATTGTAGAATTTAACTGTTTTTTGCATTTTTTTTATAGATTATGAAATCATGATGTTGATCAAAAACAATTTAAGATATATATATATATATTTATTTTATCAAAAAAATATACTGTCGCCTTTGCTGTTGACTTCAATGTCCACTTTCGCAAAAAAAATGCATTTTTTTGGGATCAATCAAATTTCTGTAAAAAAAAAATATTCAAAGTATTTAAATTAAATTTTAAAAACATTTCTCAGATTTATTTCAAACATTTTGGAAATAGTTATAAAATCCAAAAAAGACGAATTTCAATGGAATACATATTTATTTTTGTGTTTAAACGATTTCTTTCAAAATTTAAAATTGTATTTGTGCAAAAAGTTTTGTAAAGTAAACTAAACCTATCCAGACACACACTATATCATTTATTTATAAATAAAATCATTTTTCATCCACAGATAGAGACTGTTTTTTTATCAATGTAATTATTATATGTATTTTATATTAGCATTTATGATTAAATGCAAGTCATCAAATGTTGGTCGCGACAAGCTGAAAAGGCATCAGTTTGGATTATGACCCCTTAATGTTGGTGCATTGCATATCAGATTTTTCGAAATAATTTTAAGGTTTTATTATATAACGAATAATTAAAATTGCATTATTTTTTAAAT